TTTGCAAGAAAATAATTATCAAAGTATGCGAAAGAATTATAAGCTTTTCAAATATTTTTTTTTAACAATTCATAAACTTAGCAAAACACCCTCTATAATTGCTATAAATAATGACAATGTTATATGTTACATTTTTTCGTAGACATTCGAACATCCAATCACTCACCAAACACTACTACGAAGATGATACGTTGTTTTTATTCTTTTTTTTAGATTTAAATAAAAATGTGAGGTATAAGTAGTTTTAAAGAAAATGTTATTAATTCTAAATGAGCTTTTTGAATTTCTAAGATTTTTATGACAAAATACAAACACTTCAAAGAACTTATGAGCTCCAAAACATTTTATAAGTTATTTTTTAATTGTTTATAAGCTTAACCAAACACCTGTTCGTAATGACATATTCAGAGTAATATGGGTACATCTGTAATTAAAAAAATGATGTCTAATAAATTTGAGATTAACTCTAATATTCCACATATCAATATGCTTCTATGGAATATTTAAACTAATTAAAATAAATAAAATATATAGGAACAATCAAAATTCAATTAATTTATGACAAATAAAACTCTAAATATTCATTTACACAATAATATTCGTTGAATGGCATAAGTGTATTTAAGCTAACAAACCAGGTGCAAATTCAACAAACTCGTGATTATATTAAAATCACCTTTTGGCAAAGCAAAATCTCTTTAGCCAAAATTTCCCCTTTTCTTTTCTTCTTCTTCTTCTTCTGTATCTTCAATTTTCTCCATTCCCATTCGACCGAGCCTTCACACATTCTCCACACACACACACACACACCATATCAACATTGACATACACAATCGATAGATACACCTGTATATATATTTAATCTATATAGAGATGTGGCGGTGCGTGTCCCGTGGCCTCCGCATTCCGTCGAGGAAATCCACATCCGCCGACTCCATCCGCCGCCTCTTCTCGACTCAATCGGTTCGACTCCTCCGCCTCTCTATTTCAATTTTTTTTCTTCTTCTTAATTAATTTACGAGATTCCAGTTTAATTTGCATCTGCGACGAGCTCATCTCGAAAAGTTGTTGCCTGTGTGCTTCGATTTGATTTGATTTGATTTGGTTTGGTTTTTCGTCTAATTGGTTGATTTTGATTGTTTTTGTTAGCTTGATGGGACTAGGTCTTTGAAATTGAATATGTTTGTTCATGAGACGAAAATCATGGGGTTCCGTGACTGTGGCTGTTGATCTTTTGATTTTTGTTTTCTGATCTTATTGATGTATTTGGGTTTCGATTTTCTAAAGTGCTGAATTATCCGTGTTTTAAATTTGATGCGTTTTTATTTTCGTTATTAATTGTCTTTATTTATTAATCCTATTGGGTTTGAATAGAATGATGCAGCGCCATCCTATACAGTGGTGGATCACACATACGATGCAGTCGTGGTGGGTGCAGGAGGTGCTGGGCTGAGGGCTGCGATAGGATTATCGGAGCATGGATTCAACACAGCTTGCATTACCAAGCTATTTCCTACTCGTTCACATACCGTTGCAGCACAGGTAATCGAATTCTTTCAGCCTGTGTTTGTATATCCTGTAGTTGCATTTTTCAATATAGCGAGTGCGTTATTCCAGCACATGAATTTGCTCTTATTCTATACTTTGTGCATGTTTCCTACAATTGTCTTGCGTTAATGCTTTCAATGGAACAAGGCAATGGAGTATTCAGATCTTAGTTGTGGCAAATTTTTCCTCTTTTTTTGGTTTCCTTAAATATTGCTAATGCTTGTGTGTTATTTCGTGGAGTAATGTATTATATTCATGCTGGTGAAGTCAAATTTTTCCTTAAAAAACGATTTTTTTAGATAAAACCATCCTTCTTACTTTTTTTGTGTTCCGTAAAATCATCTGCTCCTTTAAATGGAGTCTTGTGTCTGCTTACTATTTGCCTTTCTAGTATCTTTCTGTTTTCACAGTTGTTCATGTCTCGTTACTTAACCAATTCCCATACAGT